CATCTGGAGCTCAGCTGTGTGACCCCGGGGAAGTGACTTAGCCTCTCTGTGCCCTGGTTTCTTCAACTGTAATACGGGGCTGGGGCAGTGCCTACTTCACAGAGTTTTGCTCTAAGCATAGCGGCCTTTAGACCAATGTCTCTGCTCATGGTGCTGGCATCGGTCATTATTCCTCTGATTTCCAGAGGACTCCGAGCTCTGGAGGGGCAGGGCTGAGGTCCGTCTTGCTCAGTGGACTCCTGGCCACCCTCGTTGACATTCCAGAATGGCTGCAGGCTATTGGAAGTGACTCATGAGCCAGCCGGGAAGTGCCCTTCCCTGGAGAACACAGCAAGGACCTCGAGGTGCCCGGGCAGCTGGGGGGCTCCCTGGGAGCTGGGGGGTGGCACCGCAGTCCCCAGGGCTGCCAGGTACAGACAATAAACGAGGGAGACCCTGGCGGGTGAGTTAACGGTTCCCCAAGGCCTTGTGACGGGAGATGGCAAATGAGCTGCTCTGGCTGCTGCTCTTGGGGACAAAGTGCCACCGTTCAGGAGGGTTCCAGAGCCCAACCTGGTGGGTTCAGCCCCTGCTCCTGGCTCCAAGGGGCCCAGATGGCACAATGAACACCTCCAGTGCCGCTGCCTCTCCTGTCTAAGGAAATGTCAAGGCTCGCAAGGCTGCCTGGAGGTAGCCGTGTACCGTGCCGCCATAGAAAGGGCTTTGATGGTTTTCAATAAGAGCCCCTGGACAGTGCAGACCCTCTGCCATTTAGGGCGTATTGGGAGGGAGTGACAACAGGACACAAAGAGGCAGAAATGCTGGGGAGGGGGAGGACCCGGCGTGGGAGTTAGGTAAAGTGGCTGCCGAAGGCAGAGGGACTGGACTGAGCAGTGGGCAGCCCACGCAGCTGAGGCACAGGGCACGCGCGCGTGTGTGTGTTGGCTATGGGGACAGTATCTGTTCCCCCTGCCTGTCAATGGCCTTCTTGGACCCCTTGCTCACCCAGGCCCAGGATAAGAACTGTCACACCAGCCTTGTGGCAGCTGCCTCCCCCCGCCACTTCCTGCTCCTCTGTCAAGGCCTGCCCACGCCCCCACCTCATGGCCGTGGAAAGGCCCAGGTGTCCGCCCCATGCCCCGTGCAATGGGTGGGATGCCCCTCTGTGTCCCCCAAAGCCCAGGCTCCCGTCATAGCACTAGTCACTGTGACCTGGAATTGCCTGTTTGAGTCCTTGTCCCCCATTAGACTGTAGCTTGAGGACAGGGCTGGTCATTCCAGTGCCCACGGTGTGCCCAGGGCCCAGCGTGCATGCAGCACACAGTAGGTGCTCAATGAACTGCCTGCAGAATGAAAGCAGATGAGCCCGTGGGGCAGCCGATGTCCCCGGAGCCCTGCCTGGCTGGCTTCTCCCGGGTTCCACATCTTCAGCGGCTCCCCACGGCAAGGGGCACCAGGCCCCTCTCCGCCCAGCCCCCACCTACAGTCAGCGCTGCCCTGCCTCCTGGGGTCCAGCCGCCACGGCCCCACGCCCCCAGGAAACTTGAATCCTCCTGCCCTCATGACCCTTTGTTCTTGCCGCTCTGCTTCCAGTCTGTACACCCTCCCCCAATTCCACTTTCTCCAGATAACTCTGTCCCTCTCTGACCTGGCCCTGCTCCTCCCTGCCACGGAGGTGCCATGGGCAGGACAATGGGCCGGGGCAGGGCAGGACCAGGTGGCCTTGCTTGCCTTTCAGTGGGAGATGCGGGCCTCTGCTAAGAGGCATCGTTGTACGTTGGCGTCTCTTTCTGCTGAACTTCAATCCTTACTCTGACACTTCAAAACTGTGTGACCTTAAGAAGGAGGTGAACCTGCCCCGACTGGTGTGGCTCAGTTGGTTGGGCGTCATCCTGCACTTGTCTGGGTGGCGGGTTCGGTCCCTGATAGGGGCACATACGAGAGGCAACCAGAAAAAAAAAAAAAAAGTCGAACCTCTCTGGGCCTCAGTTTCCCCAGCAGCGAATGGGCGTACTGAGAACACCTGTGTGTGCGGCTGAAGGCCGGGCACTGGTATAGGACGTAGCCTGGCCATTCCCCCCACTTTCTCTGAGCTTCAGTTTCCTTACCTGCAAAGGGACTAGGAGATGCTCTGGCCAGCCCAGCGGGTGGGAGGGCCCTTGAGGAGGGCGGGCTCAGGGGAGGAGCAGCAATTTTCCTCTCTCCTTTCTGTGGGGGGGGTCATTCTTTCCTCTCCCCCACCACCAGCCAGACCCAGCTCCCCCTGCCCCCTCACCCATGGTCTTGTCTCAGGTCCTCCCATGGACTAGGGTGGGGGGGAGTGGAATGGGGTGGGGACTAGGTTTGCTCAGAATGAGAAGGCAGAAGAGACCTGTGTGGGGGTACACCTGCCTGACCCCCAGAGATTCTGGAGTGGTGGGGAGCAGGAGCAGGGCCTCCAGCTCCAGCCATGGAAGGCCACAAGCCGGCCCTCCAGCCACGCTGCTCTCTGGAGCCCCAGGAGGGGCTGGCCACCAGCCAGCCTGAGTGGAAATGTACCAGGGTAAAGGACCCGGATGGGAGCCCTGGGAAAGGGTGAGAGCTGGGGACCTGGGCACAGCCGGGGAGGGGTCTGTCGGCACTGCGGCAGTGGGGGAGGGGGGCAAGTGGGAGTGGGGTGGTGACTAGAGCTACAGAGGATGGGGAGGGGTTGGGGGGCATCTGGGGCCCCCCAGTCAGCAGGTGGGCCTGAGAATGGGGGGCTGTTGTCACTGGGAGACCCGAACTGGGGGGGGTATGTGTGTGTGCCATCTGTGGTGTTGCTAGCATGCGTGGTGTGGGTCCATGCATGAGTGTGTCCATGCGTGATGTCTTTGAAGTATGTGCATGTGTGTCTGGCGTCTGTGTGTGTGTAGTGTGTCTGCTACATGTGGCATCTGTGGGTTGGTCTGGCGTCTTGGTGTGTGTGGTGCGCGTGTGTGTGCCTGTGGGTGTCCCTGTGTGTCTGCTTGCGCTGTGAGTGGGATGTGAGGCTCGGAGCTGATGCTCAAGGTCCTCTTGACACAGAATCCATGTTTGTCGAAGAGGAAAGAGGAAGAGAAGGGAGGCGAGGGGAGAGTCGTGGGTGAGGGAAAGAAGGAATGAAAGGCTGGGGAAGGGGCGCAAGGCGGACGGAAGTGGGGGGCGGAGGGAAGCGCGGAGGGGCAGAGGGCCCTCACTTGCCTGGGGCGGCCCCCCTAATCCTCAGCCCCGCCAGCCCGAGGCTGTGGCGCGGCGGGGGGGGGCGGGCGAGGGGAAGGGGAGGCGGAGAGTGCCCCCTACCCCCACCCCTTGGGCAAGTCCCTGCCGGTGCTCCTTTCCTCTGCCCCAGGCCGCCTGCGGGGCAAGTACCTGACTTTGGCCCCCGGCCCCCGCACCCCGGACGCCGGTAAAGATTTTCCAGGGGCCTCACCGCCCCTGTGCGCTGCACGCGGGACTCAATTTCGAGGGCTCACTGCTGACAGGGCTGTCGCAAGCTTAGCAATTTTTGGTTAATCGACAAAAGGCGAGAAAGAGAAGTTCGGGGGCCGTCGGCCACCAAGCTCTCGCAGTCGGGCAGGTGGCAGGAGGCCCGCTCGGGCCGCAGCGTAGCACGGGGAGGGAGGCGGCGCGGGGGCGGGAGGCGCAGAGCGGCGCGAGGGGAAAAGTTTCCGACCCTCTGGCGAGAGGCGGAGAAGTTTCGGCCGCGCCGGGCGGCGCCAAAGCCAGGCCAACACTGCCCCCGCGTGGACGCGGCGCGGCGCGGCAGCCGGAGGCCGGGCCGGGGAAACTGAGGCTGGGAACCAGCGACATGGCCTCCCAAGGTCCCTGGGAAGAGGTGCGGTAGAAGCAGGCCTCCTCTGAGACCCGCAGACTCTCTAGGAAATAGAAATACTGTGCCGGAGGGGGGCGTGAACGTCCAGAAAATGGCGTGGAGGGGAGAATTGGTCCCAGGGATGAAATCCCACTCCAGTCCCACCTCCCCACCCCTCACCCAAGGGAGGTGGTAGCACTGCCCCCAACCAATCTCCCACAAGATTTGTCCCAACTGTGCCTAGATCTGCCGCCTTTCTTCTGGAGCCAGGGCACCTCTTCAGAACAAGGATCCTCCATCCACAAGCCGTCCTGGCCCTAAGATCCCAACTGCCCGTCCAGCCCAAATCCCACCCTTTTCGTATTCAACAGGGTGCTCAGGAGTGGATTCCTCAGCAGTTTCCTTACTGGCCAGTAGGTGGCGATAAAGACCCGGATCCTGGGTCTGGACGAGGGTTGGGGTCCAACCTGGGCTTCAAGGAGCGGAGGGGGCTCGAACTTCGCTTGGGGTTTGGAACACAGTTATGGCAGGAAGACAGGCATAGAGGGTGGCACTGCTGAGTCAGTGCAGCAGTCAGATAAACGCCAGGCAGTACCTGCCACCTCATCTTTCATCACCTCCTGAGATGGTTCTGAACACCACCCACCCCGCCCCCCATGAGTAGGAGAGGAACATCTGGCAGAGGCCCACCCAGATGCCGTGACCAGGGACCAGATGGTGTGAGCCTAGCCTGGGGGACACAGAAGATGAACACACACGGGGCTCTTTTCCCTCAGCCTCCGTCTGGACATCCTCACGACAGAGCGTGAGCAGCCTTCAGTTCCACCCGAGATGGAGGCTGGGCGCAGAGGTCAGGCGAGGTGTCTGTTTCAGGGAGGGGGCTGATTCGGATTGCCAGAGGCCGGGTCCCAGGTGTAAGGTGTGCGGTGGGGTCTCCCACCTGCCAGAACAGGGATTTGCTTGGAACAAACCTGTGGATGCCTCGCCCCCACCCATCAGCCTCATCTCAGCTATGACCCCACCCCCACCCTCCCCATGGTCCGGGAACCCAAGAGACCAGCAACACCAGGCACTGGGAGAGTCTTGCAGGGTGGGGGCCCCAGGCACCTGGGATGCTCATTTATTTGTGGGGCAAGGAAGGCCTCTCCTCATCCCTGGCCCATGTCCACGCCTGGGCCCGGGCTCCGGAAGTTGCTTGCTGCTGAGCCTGCTGCCGTATTACTGAAGGAAGAAGGGCTGGTACCCCTTAGGGCGGCCTCGCTTCCTGTGCAGCTCCAGGCGGGGCAAGAAGGACTCCTAGAGTGAGAAAAGACCAGCTTGGGGCTGGGGGGTGGGGCTGGGGGGCCCTGGGCAGGAGACAGGGCTCCCGGGGCCTCAGCGTTAGGGGGCTGGCATTCAGCCCCGTTTGAGAGATGAGGAAACTGTGATGCAAGGCAGCCTGCACGTATGGAGCTGAGCTCTGAACCCGGCAGCACCTGGAGCACCCCAGCCGCCCCGCCCACCAGTCAGGGCCCTCCAGGTGGCTGGCTGCCCGCAGGTACTCACCAGTTCCTGGCTCCAGGAGTAGGGCGATTTGTCGACCTGGTCGAGAATGCTGTGGGCACCCAGAAAGGTTTTGCAGTCTCTTTGCTGCCTCTGGGTGGTGGCCCTGGGGATGTAGGGCAGGCTGCTGTTCACGGAGATGTCTTCAGAGAGGTAGTCTTGCAGCTCTGGGATGGGCCTGAGGGGGGCAGTAGCCTGTGAGCTGCATGGAGCCCAGGTCCCAGGTCCATCCATGGCTGGCAGGGCCCTCTAAGGGCCCAGGCCCTTGGCCTGCCCACTGCTGGGCGGCTGGCGGATGGCAAGGAGGGGGAGCCCTGGCTATGCATGGGAACCCCAGCCCTTCCCCGAAGCCTCACAGGCCAGGGCTGTCCCAGCTGAACGCGGAGCTGGCTGGGGCCTCCTCCTTGGATGTGGAGTCCAGGCCTTTGGGCACACTCTCTAGCCATCGCCCAACGCTCCCAAGTACACGTTCCAATGGAGCCGACTGCATGTCTGGGCTGTCCTCGGTGATGTCCTGCTGGACTGGAGGAGACAGAGCACTGTGAGAGCTCTACCGGGGGAGGGGGCACTCCCCCCCAGCTCCCGCCTCCTCCCCCTGGCAGGCCAGGCAGGCAGAGCCAGTCTCCATGGAAACCCAAGCCTCCCCAGCGCCTTCTGGCTGCCTCCAGAGAAGGCTCAGGTTTTAAAACTCTCTTGTGTGACTGTTTCTGCCTTTATTACCCAATCCGCGCCCCGTCCCACATACCACTCCTGCTCCAGCCCCAAATGGCCCCCCTTTTCTACAGTGGGAAGGCCAGCCGCCCCGCCATGGAAGTCCAGGAGAGGGCGCTGACACTCCCGCGAGGGCGGAGGGGGTTCTGGGGGCTGGGAGTCCTTCCTGCCCAACCAACTGCGGCCCTTCCAACTGGTCAGGGATCCGGAGGATGGACGTGGCTGGGAAACACCCACAGAGCCCCCCACCCCGGCGCCCTGGGACGCGACCACAGCTCCTGTGGCCGACCAGGAAGCTCTCCTGCACCAGCCAACTGCCATTTGCATGAAGCTGTTTCCCCAGGCGCCTCCTTCCCCTTGATGCCCGGAGTGGCCGGGGCCCCTCTGGCGTCTCTTCTTGGCAGCTGTGCCATCTGCCCTCAGGCCCTGGGCTTCCCCATCGAACAACCAGAAGTTGGGCAAAATCACAGCTTCTATCTGCGACTTCCTGGGACCCCCAGGGATCCTCCTAAATTGAGGACAGTCCTGATGTTTAGGGCTTTCCCTACAGCTAGGCTCTGGGGCAGCTATTCCCTGAAACTGCACCCAGTAGTATGTGCTCAGAAAAGTAGACGCAGGCTGTTGGTTGGAGGTTATGGTCCCCAGGGTTGCTGCTGGGCCCTGAGAAGGGGCCAGGCAGACGGACACAGGGGACTTCGATGATGGTTACACCCGGGCAAAGATGAGTGATCTTCCTGCCGGCCTCTTGACCCCAGAAAACACCGGAAACCACGTCCCAACAGACAGACACTGCCCCCTTCATCCTGGGGGGGCCCAGAGCAGACGTCTGCTGTGGACCCGGGCCTGCTGGCTCCCTGCTTCTTTGCCGGTCCCGGTGGTGCCGGTCTTTCCCAACCTTCTGGACCTTTCTGGGCTCCTCCTCATCCAACCCTGCTTTTGCAAATAAGGGAAGAAGATGCTTCTGGCACCTTCCCACTGTCTCCAGCCCCTGCAGGCCATGTGGTGAGCCAGGTATGGGTCAGGAGGCTGTGGGCTCTGGTCCCGAGTGGGCACCTGCGGCCTGTGGGAACCCTTGGCAGCAAGAAGCCCTTCAGCGGTGGTGAGGCCTGGGCACCCATTGTTTCCTGGGCCCACACTGCGGCTGCTGCTGGGTGCCACCTGCTTTGGGACACTTCTACTGGACCTCGGACCCTCGACTTCGTTCTTGAAGGTCACCCTGACATCCTCCCGAGAGGCCAGCTCAGGCGCCTCCTCTGTGGCGTCAGCAGCCTTTTGGCCTTTTCAGGCCGGTGCCTTACTCCCAGCACCCAGGGCCATGGCGTCCGCTCTCCCAGGTCCAGGCTGGCACTTCCTGGAGTTTGGGGCTCCCTGTGCCGTCTGCTTACATGCACATCTGCGCTCCCAGTAGCGGAGCACCGAGTCCCACAGGGTCTCGTCAGCGAATCGCACTCGGAAGGGAGGGCACCGCCTATGGTGCCCTGAGCCTTCCTCTGAGGAGCTGCAGGTGAACTTGGCCTTGGGCTTGGGCGCCTGGAGACCACGAGGCCTGCAGAGAGAGGCGAGAGCAAGAGGGGAGGGCTGAGGCCCGACCCCCCGGACCACACTCACCCCAGCAACTCACATCCACCAAACTGGTGTCCGCTGTGTGATCCTGCTGGTCACGGCTGCCGGCCTTTCCCGAGCGCTGCCAGCCTCCCTGGCACGCAGCACGCAGCCCCCTACCCAGCCCACGCAACTCCGTGACACACGGCCCCTATTCCCAGTTCACAGATGAGGAAACTAAGGCACAGAGATGTTTTGCAATTTGCTCAAGGAAGCACAGCTGGTGAGGGATGGCACCGAGGTTTGAATCCCGGTTTGTATCAGGCATTTCAGCAGAGAGAACGAGGATAGGAGCTCGGGAGTCAGGCAGTCCTGGACTTCAATCCCAACTCTTTGAGTTTTGGTTCTTTAATCTGGACCGTGGATCCCGGTCCTGCCCACCGCCCAGGGCTGCGAGGGGGTGAAGTGAACGGCAAAGCACCCTGCCGACAGTCTGCGGCGCCAGAGGCAACCACCTCTAACTGGGAACCGCTCTTATTGTAACTACCAGCCTCAATATACCCCTTCTGAGCTGCATGCTCTTAGCGGGGCAGCCCTCAAGCCTCCCCCTGCAGTTTTCCCCTTTCAGTGATGTATTATCTATTATAGGCATAATGATAGCATCCTTGTAAGAGTTTGGTGAGTATCAAATAGCTTATGTGAGGCATCTAGTCCAGGCTCTGTGCTCAATAAAGGGGGCCTGTTATTGTTACATGTATTGTTAATAATTTTGTCCTCAAGGCCAAGGCCGCACGAGGGCCTGCCTGATCCATCCATGGATCTGTTATTCAGAAAGGCCATGTTCAACCGTAAGTACAGACGAATCGCTACATCTGCATCTGCTCATCTGACCACGTCTTCACGTCTGTGTGGACCCAGAAGGGGCGCTCTCCATCAGCCCACTGAAGAGCCAGGCAGGCAGGAGGCGTCCAAGACAGCGCCTGGCTGCAGGCATTGCACCTGCTCCTCCGACGACAGTCGTCGGCATATCCGCACCGCTCCTTGCTGGCCTCGGGGCCAGGCCAAGGCACACGCAGCTCTGCACACGCAGCTCTGCCCACACTCCGGAATCTCCGCTTCTCCTCTCAAAGGCCACTGTAGCCTGTTCTAATGCACCCCAGCATTCCCACCCCCCACCTCCAGGGCCCACCAGGGGATCTTCCACACTGAAGGTGCTCAAGTATTAGCTCTTGTCTACGGAACACGGTGGGCGTGGGCTTCCCTGCTGTACTCACATTTGAGACCTTGAGTGCCAGGTGTTTCTTTACTATGTCTTATGAGAAATGGCGTGTTTATCTGGCCTGCGTGTTTTAAAGTTCCCGGGCTGGCAAATGCGTTTCGTTTCCGGCACCTACCCTGATGCATTGGTGGTGTCTGCCTGGAGCAGGGTGTCAGTGGGGAAAAGTGCTGTGATCAACTAGTACTGTCTGCCATGGGCCCAGGATTAGAAGGAATGGTGCGTATGTCATGTATTCACTCTCGCTGGTCTTTAAACTCACGTACAACACTCTTCAGCCTTCACCCCTGTTTAAGCCTGTTTAAGCTGGAGGAATTTTTCCTGCATTTTTCCCCCTCCACTAGAGCTATGGTTTCTTCTCCTGCCTCCGTCTCTTATTTTATTTCATCCAATATTTGACCCATAATAAACCCTAATAAATGTTAGAGGAAGAAATGGATGAATGAAGAGTGGAATGGATGAAAGGACGGAAGACTGGTGGGTGGGTAGGTGGATGGACGGACTGATGGATGAATTCATGAAAAGGTCTGAATGGAAGAACTAGATTTCAGGAGGATGGGTGGATATATGGGTGGGTGGGTGAATAATTATGTAGATCGGTATGTTGACTTGTGGATGGCTTCAAAACTAGATTAGAGATGGATAGTACCCTGGATTTATAAGTGGATGGAAGGATTTGTAGATGATTGACCTACAAATTGTGTTCATGGATAAAATTGTGGGAGTTTGTGAATAGATAAATGGCTGACTGACTAGATGGGCAAATGGATGGATGGATGGATGGATTCCTGAGTAGGTTGTAGAAGAGTTAGTTCACAGATAGGATGGATGGGGGAAGGGAAGAATGAATATATGAATGGATTCATGGATGAATTATGAATGTGTTGGTAGAAGACCTGATTAATGGGTGGATAGATGGAGAGATGTTGACAGAAGATTCTTGAATATGTTGGGAGAAACCTGATTCAAGGATAGACCTATGTAATGATGAGTGAGTGGATGGTTGGGTGGATGGCTGGGAGGATAGCTGGACTCACAGATGGATTATGAATGCTTTGGCAGAAGACCTGATTCATGGATGCACACACGGGTGGATGCATGGATGGCTAGATAGGTAAATTCATGGGGGAAAGACAAAGGAAAGAAAGGAAGGGAAGAAGTGCTCTCCCCCCACGCTCCCGCCAGAGCTCACTTGTTGGCCTTCTTGACCTTGGCGGATCGTTCTGGATCTCTCCTCAGTGGCCCTGGAGTAGGTATCTGATCGAGCAAAATCTTCTTCAGACTCTTCGATGACTGGCCCCTTGAAGACAAATGGCCCACACCTGGCATGAGTGGTCAAGGTCCCCACCCTCGGAGTATCAACGATGGCAACCCTGTCCCACCGCCCCCCACCCCCCCAGCAGGTCCATGACACTTACCGCAGGTCTGGGAGGAAGGAGCAGTTGGGACACTGAGGAGAAAGTCCCTGCCAGCGCTCTGACACACCCCTTTGGTGTGGCGATTCTGAAGATGCTGGGAGCCAGGAGAAGGTGGAAATAGTTATGAGCCTTTGCTTGGGACCCGCCCTTACAAGGATCTTCCTAGTTCTATGGCCTTGGGCCTCAGTTTCCTCATTCCTAAAGGATGGGCAATGGGAGACCCGCCCCTAAGGGTGGTTGCCAGAGCTCTGCCAGGAACTCAACTAGCATGAGCATCATTCCTAGGAAGGTGGTGCAGCCTCCCCACTGGAAAAGACTCAGCCCCGTGGCCCAGCCCCCTGGGGACCCAGCAGGGCCTCACTCGGTGGCTGTGGCTGAGAAACCCACTCTGCCCCGAGCTGGCGCAGGAACTCCCGGAACCTGCTAGGGAGGAACTCTCCTAGGAGGGCACCCAAGGAGGGCGGGGGCTTCCTGGCCGAGCCCCTCCAGAAATCCTCGCACTCTCCAGGCCTGGAGTGCGGGGGCGCCGGCGTCCGGGAAGCACCATCCAGAAGCAGGGACGGCAGCAGCGGCGACCTAAGCCCTGTCCTGCTTCGTGCTGCCCGCGGCGCCCTGCTGGGCAGACGGGGCAGGCGCAGCTGGGGACTCCAAAAGTCCAGCCCCGGCTCTGCGGGCGAGGACTCGCCGCTGGAGGGCTGCCACCACTCGGCGCCGCCCCTCGAGCTCCCCGATCTCCCCGCGCCAGGGCGTGATCGGAGCTCACGCGGAGGCAGATTAGGCAGTAGCGGGTCTCTCATTCGGCGAGCGCCCTCCCCGGGGAACCCCTTGGGCGCCACCTGCTGGGCCCAGGGGTAGGAATGACGCCAAGGCATATCTGGCCCTGTAATCAGCTCAGGGCATCCTCACACCAGTGGGGCGGGGGTTGCCGGGTGAAGTGGGGAGGAGGGCGTAGACCAGCCCCCAGGCCATGGTGCCCAGCGCGAGGCAGCGTGGTTTGCGGGTAACATCGCGGGCTCGCCAGGCACTGAGTGGCTTCAAACTAGAGCTCGCCCAACCTCTGTTTCCTCACCTGAAAGATGACGACGGTAAGAGTACCCACCTTTTTTTGAGTTGCTGTGACGTTCAAATAAGCGAGCAGACGTAAATGGCTCAGCCTAGTGGCGGGCACTTCGCCCGTGCTCAGCAAACACTAGCTGCTATTGTGATGATGTTGGAAAAAGGATTATTATTTAGAATTTAGTCTCAGCTCCACTACTTATTGGCTTTGTGGCCTGGAGCAAGCCAACTGAGGGACTCCTCTACTCTCAGCGGCCTCTCAGTGGAACCGGGTAACTGAGCACCTGCCCCTCTGTGAGTGAAATAGTCTCGGGCCACGTGGGAGCGTCAAGTCCTGGAGGCTGTCACTGTTATTAACTCTCGCCCTGCAAGGAAGGAGGAAACCTGGAACCAGCCTGAAAGGAGAGAACTGCTCAGCACCTGCCTCCTGCTGGGGCCTCCCTCACCTCCGCCCCGGCGTGGGAGCGAGTTGAACTGCAGAAACCCCAGATTCTGACTGACCATATTTTGCTGTGTAGAATGCACACTATTTTTTGGCCCAAATTTTTGAGAGGAGAATAAGGATACACATTATACATGGGTAGTACTAATTCCATATCTATATAAATGTTTAATATTTTTATTTATGCTTAATTGTTAAAAGTGTAACTCTAGGAAGCAATGAGATCTGTATGCAAAATCATACCCTGGAATATCATAATTTGTTTTGTTCCTCAATATAAATGAATGAAAAATTGAATTAAAAAATTAAAACGAAAGGTTTTTTTGTTTGGGCCAAAAAAGTAGGTGCACATTATACACAGGGGTGCACATATGTGGAAAAATATGGTAATAGGTCTGGGTGGGGCCAAGACACATATTTTTAACAACCTCTCTCTTTAGGAGACAGAAGCCCAGACTTGCCCCCAGATTCTGACACTGGGGGTCTCAGAGCCTGCTCCCTCCTCAGCACCCCCCGCCCACCATCCCCTCTGCTCCCAGAGCCTGTCAGCTCTGAGCTGGCCCCTAGTGGTGCCACTCACGCTAGCAGGCCTTCAGGATGGAGGCAGAACAGGTCCCAGGGAGTTGAGAGCCCCCTACAGGTGGCTGGTGCTTGGGCGAGCCCATCTTCCCAGCCCTGTCCCTCTGAGGGGCTTTCCCTGCTGCCTTCAGGGGCTCTTCAGGGTCATTGTGATCTGCCCCTCCCCCAAAGCCCTGTGAGGAACAGTGGGCACTGAGGCCTGGGGGCAGAGGGCGGGGCTGTTGTGTTCGGGATCCCAAGGCTGCAGTCACAAGGGGTAGGGGACCTCCTGACCAGGGCAGCCAGGCCTGTACCAGGGAGGGAGGGCCCAGGGTTCAGCCACCCCCTCCATCCCTGATCAGGGAGGCCCAGGTAGGTCATGCTGGGGCTGGCGGCTCTGGGAGGAGAACTTCCAGCAAGAGGCTGGGCAGCAGCAAGGCAGTTGGCCTGGAACCTCAGAAAATCCACTTCAGGTCCATGTTCTGCCTCTGTGTGCTGCGTGATGCTGGACCAGTCTCTCCTTTGTCAGGGCTCTATGGGAAAACAGACTGTTGGGGAAAGGCTTAAATTGTGAAATTTGAGTAGGGGACAAGGGTAATTGGGACCAGTAATTTCACTGGCGTGGTATAATTTTACAATTTGAAAATAAAGAAAATGACTTTGTAAATCGATTTAGAAGGTATCTGCCTGGAGGAGGCATCCCAGACTGTGTATTGTATTTCTGCAAATACTGCTTAGCCAGGGATGGAAGGAAATGCCTCCTTGGGAAGTTAGAATATTGAGTGGGGAAGGTGAGAAAGTTTTACATTTCTTTTAAGGATATGTGAGTTTTTAAAAAAATGAATGAGGGACATCGGGCTAACTAATGACTTTTTAAAAAAATACTTTATTTTTAGAGAGAGGGGAAGGGAGGGAGAAAGAGGGAAACATCCATGTGTGGTAGCCTCTTGCACGCCCCCTACTGGGGACCTGGCCCACAACCCAGGCTTGTGCCATGACTGGGAATTGAACTGGCAACCCTTTGGTTTGCAGTCTGGTGCACAATCCAGCCAGGGCTGACTAAATGACTTCTAAGGAGTCCTCCAGCCGCTGCTTGCTGTAAACATTGCTTGAGCAACTACTTTGTTCAAGATCTGGGAATTCAGAAATGCAAGAGGCTTTCAGGTCAGGGGGCTGGCCAGACCTTGAAAGGCCTTGGAGTCAGGGCGTCGGAAAGGGATGTCCTTTTCTATTGACAGGAAATAAAGGTAGGAGTGGATTTTTAGGAACCTACAAGACAGCTAACCTCAGACCTGCCCCCAAAATAAGATTAGAGACATCCCCAGCAATTGACATTACCCAGGACTCATCCCCTTTCCTTGAGGCCTGAAAGGGGATCCCGGTCTGACCCGGACTGCTCTAGGGCGGATGCCAAATAACAGGGACAGAAACAGGCTTGAGGGACTCCACAGGTGGGGCTTTTCCGCACCCCTTCCCCCACAGTGTTTTCACTTCGTTAGAGCAAACACACTTTAAGCGCCTCCTGTGTGCAGACACTGACAATCTAAGATCAGGATGTCAGTTCAGGAAAAAGGAACTTAGGATGAATATTGTCATTATAACAGCTGCAACTGTAATGTCCCACACGTTTAACCCTCCGAGCGTTGGCAGGTGAGCAATTCTTACCTCTGTCCGGCAGAAGAGGGAACTGAGGCCAGGGGAGCTTCACCAGGCCTAGCTACGTGCAAACTCATATTTCCATCAAGGCTGCCTGAAATTCCACAATTTCTATTATATGGGAGAAACCTAAAGAAGGGCAATCTTTTTCGAATGGAATCTTCGTGGACTTGTTCTGCTCAATTGAGGTAGCAACCCCTTGGCAATGCCAAGGTATTTCTTCTTTCCTTTTTGAATCTGTATTAAGATGCTAATTGTTAGGGGTGGGATTTGAGAGGAAAAGCTCCCCCCCTCACTTTACCCAGTGGGAAGCTTACAGAACCCTCGTTCTTAAAAGTCCAGCCTTGAGCCCTCCAAGTGAACTGGTGCAAGTGCTGGAGACCGGAGAGGGTGGGCGCAGGCTGCGGCTCTTCTCTGTGGGACGTCCTTCCCAAGAGCACGCAGAAGTCAAGTTAGGTCAGGAACCCAAGGGGCGGGGCAAGCCGGCGCGGGGCGGAGCCAGCCTGGCCCCCGCCCCTCCGGCACCCGGAACTGACGTGAGAGGACAAAGGCAGCGCGCGCCGCGAGGTGTCGTGTCTGGCCGAGGTCTGACCGAGGTGGCTGTGGGCTTCGGGGCTCTTTGCTGCCGCCGCCCTCTCTTTCTCTAACCCCATCCTCTTCTTCCGGGCCCCGGGAGCCCCCCCGCCCGGGGTGAGTAGCGCTAGGCGGAGTAGGGGCGGCGGCCGCCGGGTGAGGGGAGGCCCCGACCCCCAACTGCCTTGGTGCCTCGGCTCGTTACGTGACCCGGCGCTAGATGGCCCAGGCCGCACGTGCGCGCTCGGGGAAGGTATGCAGGCCACGGGTGAGGGGAGCGGAGGCAGGTCGGGGCACCAAAGCCTGGGCCGCGCATCCCGCACGCCGGTCCCCGGGCCGCGGCAAGTCTCTTCCCTTCTCTCAGCCTCGGTGTCCCCGTGAGAAACGGAGATAAGGACGGCACCCACTCGGAGGGAGGGGCCAGGGTTCAGTAGCTTGCTCACCTCGGAGCCGGGCGCGAGGCAGTGTCCGTGGCCTGGGAGTCGCTCTCATGTTTCACCCTGGACCCAGCCCCCGGGGTGGCCCGACACAGGTGCCGCGCAAAAGACAATTCGCCGCCGGAGACCTTGGAGCCAAGGTCAGCCTGTGTGCGGAGAGGCTGTGGCACCGCAAAGCCAGGCTTTGCTACCCGGCCCCGTGTGACCCCGCTCCGGACCCTCGTTGCTCCGGCTGTCTGATGGGGGTGGAAAGGAACGGCGGGTGGCCGACCGGGGCCCTGCTGCCGGGGGGTGGCGCGGCGGTGCCGGCGGTCTGGACGCACCGATCATTGCCTGGGGCGGTGTGACCCCTGGGAGGACTCGGGCCCTGAGGGCGCTGAGCCATTTGGGCCCCCTCCTTAATTCTGTTCCTGGTCTCCTGTGTGTGAGTGAGGCACGTCGCTCCTTCCGTGGAAAGGGTCTTCCGTCTGTAAACTGGCGGCTGTGGGGGGGCCAGAGAGTACATGCGGGATGCTTTGGTGGCGACCAGAAGCCAGAGTCACGAAGACAGCGTCTCAGAAACCTCCCCCCAACCGCCCCCCGCACCGGCCTCCCCGCGCAGGGTCAGCGCTGTCCGAGGCTGCTGGACTGACCCACCACCCAGCGCAAGGGCGATACTCCCGTGTGTCCAACACCCTACAGCGCACAGGGCACTTCAGTGCGTCTTTCTCTTTGACCTTCACACTTGGCAGAGATAATTGATGAGACTCGCATTTGACAGATTCCTAAACCAGAGATAGTAGGCGCCCAGCACTGTGTGGGTCACTTGATGCCTTTCATCATCACAGCCTCCCCATAAAGTCAGCTTTGCTGCTCCCATTTTATAGATGAAGGACTTTCTGTCCCTGAGGTTGAGTGTCTCTTCTGAGCTTACACAGCCGGGGAGAAGCAGAGGCATGATTCAGACCTGGTTCACCTGATGCCATGAGAGCCTTCGTTTGTTTTGTAACATTTTCCCCTGACTTTTTTCCTTCCTCCCTCCCTCCTTCCCTTGCCTTTTCATAGAGCATCCTGCCATTCTCCTATGTCCAGCTGCAGACACACAGAGCCAGGGAGAACAGGCCCCGTCCAGCAGACTGCGAGGAGGAGGAGGAGGAGGTAACTTCAGGCAGGTCCTGGCCCCCTGCTGCTTCCAGGCTTTCTCTTAGTGACTGAGATGACTCTGCCAGGCACTGACAGGGACAAACACCCTTCTCTTCCGTGGGTCCCTGGAAAGGAGTAGCAGCTGGGGCAGCTACCCAGGTGTTGCCTTAAACACCTTGGCGGGGGAGGAGGAGGTGGCCAGGTGACCATGAAGGGTGGGCAGACATAGCCTGCCCACCGAGGAGCAGAAGTTTACTGTAAGCAAAGGGTCCCTCTCTCCGCCCCTGGGAGCCAGCCGGGAGCGCATATGCCAGCCGGGCTGTGCTCCAGCCCCGCCCCGGGCGGCGTAGGTCCTACAGCTGTGTGGCTCCTCACCGCGACCCGGGCAGAGGACTGCCTGCTGTTTGGCTGGTGACCCTGCAGCTGCCCCCCCCCCCCCCCACCAGAAGAAGCAAAGTCTAGACAGGGCTCTGGGAGCCACGTTTACTAATGAATCAGTTCTTAGAACAAATGTCAAAGATATACTTGCCATTTCCCGGCGTAGATGTGCCTCCCTGGCTTGTTCCTAGAATCTGCCTGTAAGTAGAATTCTTGTAAATTAGATTATTCAGGGGGCCCTGACATTTAAAGGAATCATGTGTTAAGGCTTTTTGGTAAAGCAAAAAATTACCTTGTCAGTAATGGCTCCAGTGTTACCAATTTCGAATGGTTGGGTTTTTATCTGGGATTTTCTGAGAAATGGAAACTGGCTGTAGCTGCACGAAGCTCATTCTTTGATTCCTTCCACAACCAGTTAGCAAACACCTTGTACCAGGTGCTGGGCTAGCGGAGTCCACAGTAATGTCCCTGTCCCCGGGAGGCCTCCATCTGGGGAGGAAAGGCGAGGCAGACAGGTAGGCAGAGAGAGTAAAGCCAGTGAGTGAGTGAGTGGCTGCAGGTTTATTCTGTTCATTTGATGGGAAGTGAATGTTTTGTTGACACGCACATCCCACATGGGGTGCCAGAGAAATAGTGATACCTCTCGGCATCACCCTCTCTCGGCTGCTGCCCTGTCAGTCGTTCTGAAAGGACTTCTCCATCTGTTGAGTTTCCACGGCACTTTCTGCCTCAGTGAGAGGCCTCATGGTTTCTCCCCGTGTTTTAGTCGGTTTCATTTTTGCCTTGTCTCTCTTACTGGACTACAAGCTGGGGCGGGATGGAGGGGGAGATGGGGAGGGGGCTGGACTTGAAGTCGACAAGCCTCATAGCAAGTAGAACAGCGCCTGCTCGGGGGAGCATGTGTCAGTGCCCCAGCGTAGGGAGGGGATCCTGGGTCCCTCTGGGACATGATGTGGTCTGGCAGGCTGCGTGTGGAGCTGCTGAACCATCCTCTGGCGGCATGGGGGGCCTGAGCTCCCTGCCAGTGCCCTGCTGTTGCTCGCTGGTCCCCCTCCGTCCACCTGGTAACGCTCCTATCAGCGTCCGCTTTTGCTCTTGCCCTGGCAGTTCACATGGTTGCCAACGCTGCCTTCTAGAAACACACATCTTCTCTTGTCACTCCCTGCGTAATGCAAAGTAGTGCAAGCTCGTTGCCCTTTGGGGTGAAATGTAAACTACTGAATGTATCCATAGGACCTCTTTTCTCCTGGAGCTGCTGTCTTCTTGCCCTGCTCGCTCAGCAAACGCTTCCTCATCCTCGGTTGCTTCCTCACCCCAGGGGTGCTTCCCTGACCCCAGCGGAGCTCTTCCCTCCAGGGTGTGCTCTTCTAGTGTCCTGGGCCCCGTGGCCCTCACAGTTGGGACTGTGTCTGGCTGTTTTTGGTCTCCCTGCTCACAGCTCGGTGCCTGGCAGAGTCCTGGTGGGGCATTGACGAAGGACTGGACCCCAGAGTGAGCCTGCTTCTCTGCTGACAAGTGAAAGGACAGGAGGTGTGGGGACAGCTCAGACCCCGCCCAGGGTCAGCCCGAACATCCACTGTGGCAGGCTTGGGCCCCGCTGTCCTCTCTCTTATGTGTAGGTCGGGTTCACTGTCCCCTGGATCAGAAGCCATGGAGCCAGGTGTCCTGTAAAGGAAACACTAGAAGCCAGGGCCCTGGGTCTCTTGCTCTGTCATGAAGATCGCCTCGTAAAGTGACCTGAATGCAAGAGACAGAAGGCACTATCCTCCAAGGGGAAGCAGCAGATCGGGGGCCACTGGACGTCCCTGTGTGTTAGCCCGGGCTGTGTGGCCAGTGAAGCGGGTGAGAGACTAGGGCCCTCAACCGGCCTGATTCTCTCTCGTTTACTCAGGAAGCCCACCGCTGAGCTTGTGTCTGAGCAGAGACGTGATTGGGGACAGCATGACCAGCGAGGTGATAGAAGATGAGAAACAATTCTATTCGAAGGCCAAGACGTACTGGAAAGAAGTCCCGCCGACCGTGGACGGCATGCTCGGCGGGTATGGCCACATCTCCAGCATCGACATCAACAGCTCCCGGAAGTTCCTGCAGAGGTTTTTGAGGGTAGGCCGGTCTGGGTGCTCTCCAGGAGGAGAGGGTGTGGCTGGCGCCATGTCTCCTGAGTCCTGTGGCAGGGTCTGCCGTTGTCTGTCGCTGTCTGCCACCCAGGCCTCGGACGAAGGGCGGGGGGCGGCTGGTGGACTGTGGACGCGCCGCAGGGTCACCGGGCGGGAGCTGGCCCTGGCGCTTGGTGCCAGAACTGAGCAGTCTCCCTCTAAGTTGTCCAGTTTTTCCAGGGACGGAACTTCGTTCTGGGGCCGTTTGCGGGCATCTGGGCCGTGGATGTTGGCTGTTCTGCCAAAGGCAGGCCCCACCTTCCCTCATCCTGGGCGGGCATCTCTGGGGCTGGGGTCTCCCTGGTCCCGCCCCCTTGTGTCTCCCTGAGCGAGCACTGGAGGCTGCCGCCCACCCCCACCAATCTACCCGGTGTCTCTCCTCCATCCACTTGCCGTCTTCCTGAGTTTGCCAAAACCCTGGGCTCACTGATTGCCCTCTTCTGTTCCTTCACTGATTGGATTCTTTTTATTTGCTGTGCTGACATTTTAGCGGGGCATCAGGAGAGAGAGATGAATGCCCCTGTTCAAGTCAGCACCTTGAAGTGGAAATTGGCTTTTATTTTAGAAATCTGTGACCCAGGAAAATCACGTCATGCTCGCAGCCACTGACGTCCCTGCTGGTGCCGGCTACCAGCCTGTGCCCAGTTTAGATCTGAGTAATCCCAGGGGCCCCTGGGCAGTGACGGGACCCTCTGGTTTTCTTGCCGTTCCTGAGGGCGTCTCCGCCTCCCTTCCCTGCATTTCAGGAAGGCCCGAACAAGACGGGGACCTCCTGCGCCCTGGACTGCGGCGCCGGTATCGGGAGGATCACGAAGAGGCTGCTCCTGCCCCTCTTCCGAGTGGTGGACATGGTGGATGTGACGGAGGACTTTCTGGTTAAAGCGAAGACCTACCTGGGTGAGGAGGGCCAGAGGGTGAGGAACTACTTCTGCTGTGGCCTCCAGGACTTCAGCCCCGAGCCCGACTCCTACGATGTCATCTGGATCCAGTGGGTGATAGGTGAGCGTCCCGCTTCCCGCCTCCATGGCCCTGCGCGTCTCCCACCTCAGAGCCCGGAGGCCCCCGAGGTCCGCGGGCCGGTGCTCCCGCAGCAGGCGGGCAGCGGGGGCTCCTCCGGGCTGCCCTGCGCTCCCAGGACCCTGGGGCTCGCCTCCCGAAAGCACCTCCCCTTCCACGTTTCGTTTAACTCAGCACCTGCAGCAGCCCACGGGGCGGTAGATTTTTGTTGAAAAAATTTAAATGACCCATTAACTACCTTACGAAGAGCATGGACAGGAGTTTCAATAAAAGAGGTTTCTTAACAAGGGGAAGAGCTGAAGCCCTGGCGGGCCTGCTGTTGGCAGCGAGGAGCCCGGCCTTGCCGCCCTGTCCTGCACCCTCGGCCTGACACCACATCCGGGGCGTTCCTCCTGGGCCACTGACCTGGGAGCAGGAGCTGGCCCAGAGGCAGGCCGCCCCCTCCAAGGCGGGCGGCACTGCCCTGCTGGGGACCTGCTGGGTCTGGCCCCGTATTTAGTGGTCCCAGAAAGGCTGTGTGGAGTTTTAATGTCGGGAAGGAACTCTGGTACCCTTCACTGGTCCCAGCCTAGGAGGGGTGGGTGCCATGTGCTGTTAGGTGTCAGGCATGGCCTGGAAGCCACCCAGTGAGGGTGAAATCCCAGCTGCATACTTCACGGTTGCCCCTGGGTAGGTGACTTCTGAGCCAGTTTTGTCTTCCAGCAAGTGGGGTTCAGTAAACCCCTCCGGACTGTTGAGAGCAGTGAGGCCCTGGCGTGAAGCCTAAAGCCAGTGCTCAGTTAAGTCAGGAAGGGGTGGCTGAGAGGAGCATCCAGCGGGGTGTCCGCACCTGCCCCGTCCCCAGCACCCACCTCTGCCCTCCCCAGGCCACCTGACGGATCAGCACCTGGCCGAGTTCCTGCGGCGCTGCAAGCGGGGCCTGCGCCCCAACGGCATCATTGTCATCAAAGACAACATGGCCCAGGAGGGCGTGATCCTGGACGACGTGGACAGCAGTGTGTGCCGGGACCTCGAGGTTGTCCACAGGATCATCCGCAGCGCGGGCCTCAGCCTCCTGGCCCAGGAGCGGCAGGAGAACCTCCCGGACGAGATCTACCACGTGTACAGCCTCGCCCTGAGATGATCGGGGTGGACAGGAGGAAGAGGGACCCGTGTGGGGGCGGGGGGCTGGCGGCCAGGTGCCACCCGGCAGCTCCACATCGATGGTTCCCAAGTGTTGAATGAAGCCGCTAAATACACCTGCCTGTCACCCACTCACTACACAGGCTCTTATGAAATATAATAGGACCCAACAGGGAGAACAGATGACTGGGCAGTGAGGCAGGAGCCCAGCCCTGGTGCCCTAGGCGGGGACTTGGCAGAGCCAGCCTGTGGGGATGCGGCAACCCATTGGAAGTGGAGTCCCTCGGATGTCTGCCGCCACCACCGCACCTTCTAGGCACAGGCCCGGCTGCCTTCAGAGGAGAAGAGCCCCCTTGACTTGGCTGAGGACACTACCTCAGGGGAGGGGTGGGCTGCTGGAGCAGGCAGCCCTGCGGCACCTGCAGCCGTCGGGAAGTTCACGGCCCGAGCCTGAGGTGCCGGCCCTGGTGGTGGTCACAGCAGCCTGCGGGGGGAGAGGCCTATAGCCTCATCTTGGCTATGCCTTGTGGCTCCTCCTTGGCCAGGGTTTTCCTCTCAAGAAAGGGTGACTGCCCTGGCCTGTGTGGCTTGGTTGGAGCGTCGACCCATAACAGAAAGGTTGCTGGTTCGATTCTCAGGCAGGGCACATGCCCATGTTGCAGGCCCAATCCCGGGTCTGGGCGTGTGCAGGGGATGGCCTGCTGGTGCTTCTGTCTCACATTGGTGTTTCTCACCCCCCGCCCCCACCTTGAATGAGAACAAAATAAACCTTTAAAAGTAAAAAGGGCGAGTCCCCGTGCTGTGAAGGCCCTGCCAGCCTGGAGTGGTGCTTCCCTTCCACTGGGACGAGCGCCGGGTGCTGTAGCCTAAGGCAGTGCCTGCTCCTGCCGACCACCTCCCTTCCAGGCTGCTATGGGGCCCCTCACCCTGAGCTGGGGGAGCTGGGGGGCGGAAGCGCTGTCAAGGACCTGTAAGGCCAAGAGAAATATGTTTAATTTGATAATATAAATATGTCGTTTCGTTGCCTCAGCTCACTTCCGAGGCATCCACACAATTCATACCCACCGACGTGACAGCTTTGCCAGGGCTCAGTACCGGGTGGGCAGCGGTCTCCATCAGACGGGGCCGTTTGGAAAGGGCTGTCCCTGCTCATGCATGATTGCTGCTTTTAGCAGAAGGTACAGTCCCCAAGACTCTGGTTTTGGCACGGACAGAGTGGCACCAGAGGACAGCCCCGAGTCTTGGTGAGCGGGGCCGCAGGTGACCTGGCCCCAGAGCTGCAGACGCCGGCAGGAAGCCACTCGGCTTCCCCCCCAAGCCCCCCAAATGCACTTCTGTGGAGGAAAGGGCCTTGGCTGGGCCACCCCCCACGGGCCCCCAGCTTCCTCCTGGCTTCAGCCCTGTCTGCAGCTCCCGGCCGAGGACCTAGGCTCAGGGCTGCCCTGCTCCTGGGGACGCCCGCCACTTCCTTCAAACATGTCCCAAACCTGCGCCCTGTCGTGTTTTCCAACGGGAGACAGGAACCTGGGGGTGCTGCTGAAGGGATGGGGTGGTCTCCCTGAAAGACACGCAGCCTTTACCCACTGGAGTGACTGCGGCTGCCGGGCTCTGTCTGTACTAAGGTTCAAGTCTCATTACCAATGGCATCTTGATGGGCAGGACCGAAGGTTCTCTCTGAGGCTGTCACAGGTACTTAGATCCACCAGCAGGCCGCCAATGGGCCTGGACGCTGTTCCCTTCAGTCCAGGCGTGGTCAGATGTCACCTTCGATGGAGCTGCTGTGCTCACTGAGGAGGTACCACTTCAGCCTGTCCGGCAGAGGGAGGGCTTTGACTTTCGCATCCACAGGCCATGGCTGGAGGTAGAGCCGGATGTAAACGCGACACAGATGCTTGAGGGAAGGGGGATAGCTCTCCAGCTGCCTCAGGGAGAAGTGAAGGGCCTGGATCTTTTCTGCCAGGCTGCCCACAGGATGGATGTCGAAGTTTTCAGGCAGCTGGAGTTTCTGGGAATTCGTCACCATGAGGTCCAGGACGGTCTCAGCTTTGCGCAGGAGGTCCACGTGGCTCTCGTCTTCGGCGCAGCCTGGGTGGGAGCAGAGCCTGTCGAAGACGATGTGGAAGCCAGACCAGCAGGACGCCCCGTGGAGAGAGCAATTGTAGGCGGCACCTGACTCCAGCAGGAAGCGCAGCAGCGGGAAGTGCACTTTGAAGCTCTTGAGGCAGATGTGTGTGAGGGACTCGTGGGCCGGGCACTCGCTGGGGTCAGCCCCGTGAGCCAGCAGCAGCTGCGTGACTTGGAAGCAGAAGCGGTTGATCATCTGGGCTTCCTCTTTGTCCCCTCCCACTGTCTCACCGAGCAGGAAGATGATGCAGGTGAACACGGTGTCCCCATCTTTGGTGGTCGCCTTGACATCTGCCCCTGGAAGAGCCAACAGGAGAGCAACAAGAAGGTGGGAGAAGGCCTAACGCCTTTAAAGTAACGCTCAATGTTTAGGGGGCGGGGAGAGCCTGCAGGACCAGAAGTGCCCTGTGAAAGGGCGAGGCCCGGGACAGCCCGGGGAGCAGCTCACCTCCTTCCAGCAGCAGGCGGATGTTCTCGGTGTTGTGGATCTGCACCCCGTCGCTGCTGGCCAGAGCGTGGAGCAGAGCCGTCTTCCCTGGGGAGGGGGAGGCAGTGAGGGCGGCAGGCCAGGGAGCCCGGGCGGGGCACGCCCAGAGGCGGAGGGAGATGAGCAAATGACCTTGGACAGGACTGACCTCAGCTCGGGCTGGGGGCCACCGCTTTCTGGCCATCCTCTCTCCACCCACACACAACGGGGCAGAGAGGCCAGGAGGGGTAGTTTTTCTGGACTGGGCCAATGACCATGCTCTCCCTAGAGCCTCTGCCAGTCAGCGAGGTGCACTGACGCGCACCCCGGGCCATGCTGTGCCCGCCCACCTGTTGTCCTGGGATACCCTGCTCCCCCTGCAAGGCGCTGGGGCCCGGGCCCGTGCTGCTTTCCCCCGAGAATGCCCACCATGCTTGTCGGCTGCATTGACGTCCGCTCCGAGGTCCAGGAGGCGCTGCAGGCAGGGCAGGCGCTCGGGCTCCTCGCTGGCCAGGTCCAGGGGGCTGCTCTCGTGGATCTGAGCAAAGAAAGCACGGCCAGGTTAGCGCAGGGGCGCTTCTCAGGGACCCCCGCCCCTGGTAGGCAGGACCTGGCTCTCACCCGGTCCCTCCGGTTGATGTCGGCTCCGTGGCGCACCAGCAGCTCCACCATGTCGGGCTGGTTTCGCAGGACAGCGATGTGCAGGGCCGTGTAGTAGGTGACCGGGTCTAAGGGCGCAGACACAGCTCAATCAGTCCTGCCTGTCGGCACATTCCTCCAGGACCCCAGGACCTGGCCAGCGGCCTGGGCCTGGCACTCCCAGTGGAGGGGGCCCAGGCTCTGTCACCCTGAGGGGTCGCAACACACAGCTGTCCTCATCGGATGCTACAGCACAGGCTCTGGGGTCAGGCCTACGTTCGGGTCCTGGGGTGTTCTCGTGGGCGCTGTCCTCAGTCTGCCTGGGCTTTGGTTTCCTCTTCTGTAAAATGGGGCCATACAGCAGGGCATCTCCTCCCGTGCTATTGGGGGGATACCCAGAGGGGCAGCTTCTCAAGCCTGGCAACGTGTTCTCAATGGTGGGTGTCAGCTCCTTGACCCTCCAGGAGCCTGGCAGCCCCAGAGCCTGTCCTCACAGGGGGAGAGGAGACGCGCCTGCCACATCCGGGGTCGGCACACAGACCCCACTGGGTGCTAAGTCGGCCCTGCGGTCTCCTCGCTGACCCTGGCCTGCCCGGGGGAGAGCCAAAAAGGACGGGAACATGGCTCCCTCGCCCCTCCGCCTGCACCTACAAGCCAAAAGCCAACACAGCCTCCCGCCCCCGCCCCCTGCTGTGATTTATGTCCGGTGCGACCTGTTTTCCCTTCACCCTGTGGCAAGAACAAAAATGCAAGATGGCTCAGAGTAAGAGGCAGGAAATTACCTTCCCTTAGCTCTGGGCATTGTGCCAGCAGCTGCATTTTCACGTTAATGGAAGCAGGGAATTAGCTGGGAGCTGGGAAGATTTGCTAAATCAATCCCCTGGCAGAAGCAGCAGCAAATTTGCTCTTGGACCAGAGGTGGTGAGGGCCATTTAAAGCCCAGTGGGTGGGGGAGGGATGGGAGGCCACCCAGTGTGGGCTTCCTAGCCATCACCCATGAAATAAACGAGGGGAGCAGCTTCTAAGAGAACAGCCAGGCAGAGCCCACAGGACTGGCTGCCCACCCCGCGCAGGGCTGCACTGAAGCCACCCATCCCCTCCAGCCCCCCGGGGCTCTGTCTGACCTTCAAAGTTGAGGTTGGCCCCGTTCCGCAGGAGAACGTCGGCTGCCTGGGTCAGCCCCAGCTCAGCCATCTTCAGCAGGGCATTGCTCACACCTTCCTGGTAGAATGGAGAGTGGGCCTTTCTCTCCAGAAGTTCGGTGAGAACAAGGAGTCGGCTCTCCTCACTGGGGACGTAACTGGGCCTGGCACAAGAGAGGGGCGGACCAGCTGAGTGTGAGGACAGCTGCGGGACCAGCGGGCCCGGGCGCCCTGTGGGTGAGGGGCCTCTGGTGTCCTGCTGTCGTCATCCCTGCCCCCCCCCGCCCCGGCAGAGCCCTGGGTCTGTGGGTCGAAAGCCTCTTTGGAAAAGATTTGCAGTGCCCTTGCCAGTGTGGCTCAGTGGGCTAGGTGTCGTCCCGCAAACCAGAAGGTCACGGGTTCGATTCCCAGTCAGGGCACATGCCTGGGTTGTGGGTTTGGTCCCTGGTCAGGGCACATATGAAAGGCAACCAATCAATGTCTTTTCCTCTCTTTCTCCCTCCCTTTCCCTTTCTCTAAAATCAATAAGCACATCCTTGAGTGCAAATTAAAAAAAAAAAAAAATGTGTAGTAGAGATGGGGTCAAACTGGATGTTTTAACTGGAGCAGATGCCTCAGGTTTGCTGGGAGAGGACTGGGGATGTCTCCAGCCACCTTCCAAGTTGCAGAGAATCTGGTCCCCGATCTGGGGACAAGGTCTCACACCTGGGCTGTTGGGCCTGAGGGGAATTCCTGCGGCCAGGAGCAAGAGCCAGACACGGACACGTGTTCCTCTGATACTGGCTGTCCCTGAGCTGCGGAGGGTAGCCGGCCAGCCCAGGCAGTGGGCGACCTCCTTCCCTGCTCACACTCACGAGGACAGTTAGCCCCACGGCCTTCCGACGGCCGGGTACGTGCAAGGCTCTTCGCTCCCCAGCCCCCGCCCCCGCTACCTCCCCCAGCAGCACAGACCACAGGAACCACCATGCTTTCCCCAGAAGCGCAGGCCCGTGGACAGTCCATGACCTTGCATGTAGCTCCTTCACAGGCCGCTGTCGCCTCCTCTTGCTGCACCTTCCCTTCCCACAGGCGTCCCCTACCTCCGCTCCCAGCTCCCCCTCCACTTCACCCATCTGCACCCCTCCAATTGTTGGGATCAAGGCTCCATCCTTGCTGCCTGGGCAGGTCCCTGGAGGGTGCCCAGTGCCCCACGGGCGCAAACATTATAGGACTATAAAAATATAAGGCCGCACAGCCATCCTTTGCTGCCCTAGCCCCACCCAGAACAGCCTCCGAGTTAAGGCAACACCTTGCACTGCATTTTCAGAACAAGCCTCAGTGAACAGCGCTGATGAAAGCCTGTGATTCCACCGAAGTCCCAGGAGAGAGGCGTGACCACCACTGTTTGAAATTCCAACTGATCCCCCCTGACACACACCTGATCCTCCCTGTCCTCAGAAATCCTCATACTTCTCCTGATTGTCAGTCTCTCTCCTCTGGCGGCGATTGAGCATCAGGAAGGCTAGGGGTCTTATTTAGCTCCCGGACATAGCCCTGAATGACACATTTTCTGACACCTTCCCCTCGGGTTCACGGAGAGACCTACTGCTGTCTATATAAAATGCCAACTCAGCCACAGAAAGCTCATTTTGGCCCTGCCCTGGGGTAAAAATTGAGGCCTTCATCGATGCCACCTTACTCCTTTGCAACTCCGGGTGTAGGGCACAGGGTGCGCACTGAGGCAGGGGCCCTGCTGACACCCGCCCCCCAGGCCTCCCTGCGCGGGAACGCTGCACCGGGCAAGGCAGGAGCCAGCACAGGGCAGCTCGCACTCGAAGCGGCGCGACTCCGACCCCCACCTCAGTCTTTTATCTGTACCGTGGGGACACAGATACCCCGCTCCCCGCCTCGCTTGTAGTGGCAATTAACAGGAAGCAGTGCCAGGTCGGAGCGGCCCCGGCCGGCAGGAAGGAAGCGAGTTACCCATCCAGGGGCTCCTGCCGCTCGGGGTCCTGGATCCCGAGGGAGCTCAGGATCGCATCCACCAGCGGCTGGTACTCGAAGATGATCCTCCGGAAGCCGTGCAGGAACGGCATCGCGGCGGCCCCGGGCGCGGCAGGGCGGCCACACTTTCTGCCGAGACCGGGACCCCAACTGGGCGCAAGGAGTAGCTGCGGGCCTGGCCGGGACTGTGCTGGTCTAAGCCCCCCCACTCCCACCAGGTCCGCCGCCGCACCCGCTGCTCCGCGCCGGAAATCACTCTGACTTCCGGTTCGTGTCGACCCCGGAAACGAGCACTGGCGACAGCGGCCCCTGCGGGCTCGGAGGACCGCGTCTCGTCCCCGCGCGCGAGCACGGTGTCTGGCGGACCGACCGGGGAGTGAAGGGCGCGGACCCACAGCTAAGCTTCATCGCAGCCGGAGGCGCTCTCGCCCCTTCCCGGTCTGGCCCTGCTCCGCCCTGCGATCCCGCCCGCGGCCGCTGGGCGCCGTCCGAGCTCCGCCCCTTGCACGGGCCGGCCGAAGCCGTCCGTGACTCGAGCCCTGGCGCCCCCAAGCCTAGGACCACTTTTCGGTATCTTCCTTTGGGTCATGTGTTTGAACCTCCCCAACCTCGAGCCCCAGAGTGGGACCCTGACGGCTTCATGATCCTGGGAAATCCGTTATGAAGAGCTGTGCGATCCCAGTCTTGGCCTCCCACCGCCCCAGCCATGTGGGTTTGGGAGTCTCTCCCACTTGGCACCTGCCAGAGGCAAGAGTTGTGAAGGGGAGGAAATCAGTTTAGAGTCACATGTGAAGACATTAAACGTTAAAAATGGACAAAATAAGCCTTCTCCAACAAGAGCAAAATAGTTCACAAGAAAAACCCATCCAAAACATACCCAGGCTCAGCTCTGGGGACCAAGTGGGTTCAAGTATGCAGCAAGGGCTGGATAATTGCCGTTAAGTTTACAAAGTTGTTTTGCAGATCAAATGACAAGCTATTAAAACCCCCCTTTGTCACCCAAAACGCCTCATTTTGCCTCCCCTTCCATTGCCTAGAAGAGCAAGACAGAGCGTGGGGTGGGCAGCCTGGTTTAAGCCTCTTTAGGCTGAGCCAGCGTGGAACCGCAAGTTCTCAGCACACTCCTGCCTTGGTTCTTGCTCCAGAAAAGAAGGATCTTCCCCATGACTGAAACTGGGAAATTTTGCCAACACAGAAATGGAGATTTCCAGCTTGTCTTGTAAAATCAGAAGATCGGTCACCTGGGCTCAAATTCCCACCTGGTAACAACGAGCATCTGGATGGGGCACTTGCTCGATATGCCTCAGTCTCCCCAGGGGTCACCCTGGGGCATCGGGAACATCTGCCTCTGTTTTCAGGGTCCACCCACCCCCAACTGATCCCAAAGATCTGAATGGCGCAGCAGCCCACAGGGGACCCAGACGCCACACAGCCCTTCTCTCCTTTGGTCCAGGGTCACTTGCTCCACAGCACAGGTGAGAAGACCGAAGTGCCTGGAGGGGCCTGAGTTGCCCAAGGGATGCAGTACATAAGTGGGGGAGGCCCATCTAGTATGGGGTCCAGAGCAGAGCCTGGGGGACAGTCTGGTCTGCCTCTCCGCCCACTTCTTCCCTGGCTCCGTTAGTTTCCTAAGGTCATCAGAACAAAGCACCACAAACAAGGTGGCTCAAAACAACAGAAACGCATCCTCTCTCATTTCTTGGGGTCAGAATTCTGATATCAAGGTCCTGGCGGAGCCATGCTCCCTCTAGAGAGTCTGGAAAAGGTTCCTTTCTCAGCCGTTCCAGCTCTGGGCAGTCCCAAGCACTCCCAGGCCAAAGACAGCATCACCCCAATATCAGCCTCCCTCTCTGACCGCACTGCCTTCTTCCCTGTATCTGTGTCTCTGTCCAAACCCCCCACTCCTTTCAGAATGGCACCAGGCATGGGATTCAGGGCCCACCCGAATCCAGCATGACCTCTTCATAACTTGATTACATTTGCAAAGGCTCTTTACATCTCTCTGTAGGACACAGTTGAAGCCATTGGAATGCATGATGCCAAGCATGAGCCTTGGGGTCTCTGGGCCTCAGTTTCCTCACCTGCAAGCTGGAAGGCTTCCACACGGACAGTCTTGGAGCCAAGAAAGGTCTCCGCCAAAAAGAAAACTGGGATTGTCTTGTGATCAGTACAGTAACAACAGGAGTTTACTTTCATCTACCGAGTCCTTTCAAAGTGCCAGGCACTGTGCTAAATGCCTGACACACTAATCTCAAGAAATCCTATGAAGTAGGGGAGAGCATCAGGCCGTTTCACAAACGAGGAAACTGAGGCTCGGAGAGGTCTGGCTGCTTGTCCAGCGCGGCATGGCCAGGTCTGGCTTCTGGGGGGCGGGTGTCCTGCTGTTCCTTGGGTTCTGGGCCCAAGGGGGTCCAGACGTGCGGGAGGGAGGAGCTGACCCCTGCTCTGTCACAGCCCTTGGGCACCAGAGTTTGGAGCCAGGCCCTGCCGCCTGCCTGTCGCGCGGGCTCCTATCTTTAGCAAGCTCCGTGCCCCTTGACCTCCCTCCTGTCAGCAAGGGTAACCTAGTTTCCTCCATCTGCCTCCCATTAGACCTCTGTCACTCAGAGCCTCTGATTTCAACTCCGAGCCGTCTCTGTTTCTTTCTTTGCCGCTGTCCCTCACTGCCCTGCCAGCCCAGGCACTTCCTGCTGCCCGAGCCCAGGGCTCCTCAGCAGGCTGGGGTCCTGGGGCCAGCCACCCAGTGCTCAGACCCTGTCAGCGTCTCTCCCTGTTTTCTATGCTCCAAGGAGGCTGGGAGTCACTCTGACTATCCAATGTCCAGAGTATGGTAACCTTAATATGTAAAGAACTGCTAAAAACCAACAAGAAGGCAAAAACACCAGGAGAAAAAAGGGCAAAGGACATGCATAGGCGAGTCAGAAAGGATGAGAACCGTCAACAAACATAAGGTGAGAAGTTTAGCCTTTCTAGTGGCCCAACACCAACGGTGACAATGGCTGACATAGAGGACTTACCACCTGCTAGACCAGGCCCTACAGCAGCTCAGTGAAACAAGTTACAGAAGAGCAGGCACCGTGTGATCCCATTCAGGAAAAGGTGGGCGGGGGGGGGGTGTGCTTGAGCGCATGTGCGCATGGGTATGTGACCAGGGTTCGTTCTTGCTGACCCCATGCAGAGGTGGTACCGGGGTTGTTTCTGGGTGCTTTTATCTTCTTTGCACTTTTATATATTTTCTACCTTTTTACCAATAAGTGTATCTTCTTGCACGAGATTCAAAATGCAACGCAGCCCGAGGCAGGGCCTCATGCCCTGCACACTCCTCACACACATACACACCCTCACACACACACTCACGCACGTGCCCAGGGCGGTGGCTCCTGGCAGGGGTGGTGTCGCTGGCCCCATCCCGGCACCTTCACCTCCCCGGGCCCCTCTTCCCAGGCCGGGTCTGCCCTTTATAAGACCCGGAGGCTCCCGGGGTGAAAAGCCCCCTTTTAATGTCTCCTTTTTTGATTTGGCAGTCCCCATAAAGTGAGACCTTTGGAAAGCATGGTGACCTGCCACGAGAGGCATTATTTCCCTTCTTGGGGGCCTGCGGCTTCAGCCCCGGCAGGACCCGGGGCCCGGGGGCCCAGGGCGCAGGGCTGGGCATAGTTCTGAAGGGTGGTCATCGGCCCATCGCCCTGCGGCTTCCTCCTGACTCCTCCTCCTCAGGCCAGCTCCCTTTCCTTCCCTTTCCCTCCCCTCACCCCGACCCCACCCTGACCTCCTACCCTCATGACCCCAGTGTGTTGCTGCCTGGGAGACCCAGCCTGTTTGGCCTCCAGTCCCCACACTGAAGGGTAGGGCCCCGACTGCTCACTGCCAGGGGCTCAGTGGGGGACTGCGTGGCCAGGAAGCTGGGAGCAGGGGCGGCAGTAGGACATCGGCTGGGCCAGGGACAGACTTTCCTGTCCCCTCCCTCATCCCACTTGCTCTCCTGAGAAGCTCTCGGCCCCATTTCAGGGATCCTGACACTTAGGGACCAAACCCCAGGCCTCGGCGCTCCCAGAGGCCTGTCCCGCTCCTCCCATGCCATCTGCCCCCTCCAGAAAAACTGCCCCTGCTGGCCAGAGCCCCCTGCTCTGAGGGCAGCCTCCTCCCTGACACCGCCCCCTTCCCCCCACCGCACACCTAGGCCGTGCCAGCCAGTCCCCGTGCCTGGCCATGGTGTGGGGCCTGTGAGAGCCAGCTATGCCCCAGGTGGGCCGCCCAGAACTTCCAATGGGTCCCCGAGGGACCTCTCTTTCTCTACCATCTCTGTGTGTCCAACTCAGGGGCCCTACCTGACCCCCAGCCTCTTCCAGGTGAGGTGGGTCCTCGGGGCCCCCAGAAGCTCCAGAGAACAGGCTGAGACGGTGCTGAGCGTCCGCCTTAGTCAGCTCGGGCCACTACCACAAATTATCACAGGTGGACGGCTTAAGCACCAGGCATTTATTCCCCGTAGTTCTAGGGGGCGGGAAAGTCAAGATCAAGGTGCTTGAAAGCAGGTTTCATTCTGAGGCCCCTTTTCTTGGCTTACAGGACACTGCCATCTCTCTGTGTGCTCACGTGACCTCTTCCTCCTGCACATGCACAGAGGGGGCGGGTTCCAGAGATGCTTCCTCTTCTAATGAGGGCACTAATCCCATGCTGGGGGCCCCACCCTCACGACCCCATCTAAAGTAATCATATCCCAAAGGCCCCTCCTCCTAATACCATCACATTAGGAGTTAGGGCTTCAACGTGTGAACTTGGCGGGAGGGGGACACAAACATTCAGTCCCTACAGAGACCCTCTGACCCTTCACCCCAAGATGGGAGGGAGGTGGAGCTGGTCTCAGCCTCACTGCACCAGCCACACAAGCAGAGGTTGATTTCAAGGCTCCCCTAGTTTCCTTCCCACTCCAGAAGCCAGGGCTCTACAGAGAGTGACCCGCAGCTTCACGTGGGAGAGCTGTTTCCGGAAATAATGCCCAGCCCCTCCGTCGCAGACCCTCCCCGCCTCCGCGCCCGCCAGCCCGCCTCCGCTGCGTGCTCACACGGCCCATTCCTGGCAAGCTGATCTGTGTGATCTTGGCCCGTGTCTTGCCCTCTCTGAGCCTTGGCCTATCTGGCTGCCACATGGGCGGGGGAGGGTGCCGAGGAGGTCTGAGCCTGCCTCGTCTCTGGCTGGTCTGTGAGCCCAGAGTCCTTCCCACCGGGGCCCCGCTGGCCCCCG